AGAGACAGAGACAGAGAGATAGAGAGATAGAGACAGAGAGCGAGAGAGAGAGAGAGAGATCTACGCGCACACACACGCATATACATATATAAACTATATATATATATATATACACATACACATAGATTTATTTATTTACTGTGTATCTGCATGCACATCCTAACCCGAGAATATAGGTGTCACAATCGTCGCGGGCTTTCCAATTGTCGCTGCTGCTACATCAGCCCTACTGTACCCCCAAACCAAAGCCGGTGGCTACCTTTCCCGTGTTCCAGGCATATGAAGTCAACCATCCACGCAGCTTTAATCGTTCGGGCACAGGTAACCGTGCAGGTTATCTCACCGGATGAGAGTCTAAGGTATAGGGTTCAGGGTTTAGCGCTTACGGTTCAGGTTTGAGGTGTTCTTACGTCTTACTTCTTACTATCTTTCTGGCCTTGAGTGGTTGGAATCACAGCCACCAAGTCCAGCCGGGCAAGAGAGGGAGAATTGGCGTGCAAGGACTGTAGATCTTAAATGTAGAAATCAGAAAGGACTGTGGGTCAACCTTTACTTGAGACAAAGCATGTCACGTTGTCAAAGTATGCAATTCAGGCATGTCAAAGATGTGCCTGGCAAGAGCCAGATCAACAAGCAAGTCGGGCGACACACAAGGATAAAAATTGCCCGTGGACAGATGCGAGAATCAAATGGTGATGAAAGTCGGGCGTGGACATATAGCACGTCAAAGTAAAAGATCATAATACCGTACCCTTTTGCAAGGTAACTATAGTTTTATGGTCCGGGGTAGTATGTAGAAAAGTAGGTACCCCAAGAAGGGGTAGGCTATGACCCGCTGGGTAGATTTCCAGAAGGACGTGAGTGTGCAGAGTGATGGGTCGCACATTTTTTGTTTTTTCTCCGGCTTCCGGGTTGGGCAGCCTTTGGGTTTAGGGCTTAGGCTTAGGGTTTTACAGGGTTTTACAGGGTTTTACAGGGTTTCACAGGGTTTCACAGGGTGTTACAGGGTTTTACAGGGTTTTGCAGGGTTTCGGGTTGGGGTTTAGGGTTTAGGATGGGCCGTACAGGATATCTTCGCTTGACTCAATCACAGTTGCATGGTCTCAGACGTGTACGAGTTTTGTGGGTCAACTGGTCCACTTGGAGGTTCATGGGATGTGATACGTGGAGTTGTAAGTCCCCGGACCATCTAATTATCCCACGGAATCCTTAAAGGAACCCGACTTATAACCCTTTTATGACGTACTTAAAGCTACCCATGACCTCCAAGTGGGGGTTTCCGAAAATAGGGTGCCCTAATATAGTACCCTAAATAATAGGATCCTTATTATAAGGACCGCCAAATAAGGTACCCCTTATTTCGGAAACTCCTATATACCCTAAACCCTAAATGGCGAGCATCTTTATGACCGTACTTAAAGCTACCCATGACCTCCAAGTAGGGTGTTGGGCAAGCTAGGGGTGTAAGGGTTGAAAGGCCGCAAGTAGGCTCTGCGGCCGAGGGTGGGAAGCCAAGATACCATCCCTGCAAAAGGTAGAAGGTTCCTGCAGGGTCCATGTACTGATATGATATGCAGACTTTCACGTATCATGTCAGTACATGGACTATATGATATAGTCCATGTACTGATATGATACGTGAAAGTCTGCTTTCGTACATTAGGGTTTAGGGCTTAGGGAGTTCTGGTCTCGTGCTTGTGATGTCGTTCTTTCGAGGACGCGACGGACGACGAGGATGAGGAGGAGGAGGAAGAGGAGGCATCCTTGATTTGACATGCAGGGTTTAGGGTTTAAGGATTAGGGTTTGGGGTTTAAGGATTAGGGTTTAGGGTTTAAGGATTAGGGTTTAGGGTTTAAGGTTTGGGGTTCAGGGCTGCGGGTTTAGTGCACACATGGCTCGTCCCAAATACTGCGCCTAGGGCGCAGACTACCCCCAAGCCGATGATGTCCGGAAGCGTCACGGATCTTTAGCATTCTTAAGTTGCAGCCACCTTTCTAAGACATCCTCATGAGTTATCGTAGCTTGGCACCTTGTCTAAAATAGTCACTGTCCATTGAGCCTGCTTAAGACCCGACGCCTAAACAAGGAAACTTGGCCTCTTTTGCCTAAACCTTGGCTCGCCAAGCTCAGCTACCAACCCCTGCCAAGAGAAGCTTTGCTTCAACCATCAGGGGAATTAGCAAATATTAGGTTTTAGGGCTATGCGTCAGATAACTTGACAAGACTTGCCATGAAAATCGAAACCTATGGTACTCCTGGCCGGGATCCAGACAACAGGATAGGAGTTTTATGGCTGGGATCCAGCATTGAAAAGGCGCCACGAACGAAACTACAATTCTAGAAGACTCAACACCCATCAAAACCCTTTGCGTACATCACAGCCCGCTTATACACCCTTCTAGGTACCTAAAGGTCATACCCATACCGTACCCTTTCTTCAAGGCAGCTAGTTTTATGGTTAAGGTCTGTTATATAGAAAAGTAGGTACCCTTGAAAGCGATGGGGTATAGGTAGGGTTCTAGAATTCATGTGGTCAAAGGGATCTGGATCTCCAGTTCCTGCGGCGATCCCCGAGCTTCTGAAGGGATCAGGGACTTCGTAAGTAGGGTTTTCGTAAGTAGGGTTCTAAGTACGGTAGCAACACTTAGAATGAAGTACTTCTTAACCCCAGTTAGGGTACCCGAAGCCCAAAACCCTAAACCTTCATAACCTTGTTCAACTAAGTCCCACGATCCTATGTAACCCTCAACCCTAAACCCTAAACCTTTCTTTTAAACTAGGTCCCACGATCCTCTTTAAGCTTGCAGGAAGGGGAGGAGATGAGCGAAGAGAGCGAGGAGGACCCCTGGGGGAGACCCTGGTCTGAACAGGGCTTGGCTAATATAGGTAGTTCTCTAAATTAGGGTTCCTTTTTAGGTCCCCAACATAGTACGGCACCCTTATAAAAAGGACCCTAAAAGGGACCCCAATTTTGAAAACTACCCATCTAGGGGCCTACATAATTACCTATACCATTTTGGGGGTTCCTTATTAGAATTCTAGTAGAATAGGTCCCAAAACCCTATTCTGATTATTAAGGCCCCTACATTAGGTTATCGGTGTGGGTTTTAAGGTGTAGGGTATTCTCGTACCATATCAGGGGACTTAGAAGCGGATGCGGGGCCTGAAAGGGTTTAGGGTTTAGGGTTTAGGGTAGATAATAGATTTAGGATTGCATTGGAACTAGAAGGGTGTACTTTTTTACTGGCCTTGAGCGTTGAGTCGGAGGTATTGCTGTTAATTATTGTAGATGTGTGTGTATATATATATATATATCTACATGTACATATATATACAGATATATATGTGTATTTATTTATATTTATACAGATAGGTATTTATGTACCCTAAACCCTAAACCCTAAACCCTAAACCCTAAACCCTAAACCCTAAACCCTAAACCCTAAACCCTAGCCATAGATAATGTCTGTGCAGATGTATCTGCAGGCCAGGCTCCCGATGGGTCTTTGGAGTTCCTTGTAGTCGTGACTTCCGTCCCTCTCCAAAACCCTGAGGGGAATAGGGTCTAATCAGGGTTTAGGGTTTAGGGTTTAGGGTTTAGGATTTAGGGTTTAAGGTTTAGGGTTTAGGGTTTAGGGTTTAGGGTTTGGGGTTTGGGCGGCGAAGTCTCACCTGCAGCCCCAAACCGTGCTGGTAGGCTATGATAAGACCGTGACCCTAGAATTGTAGGGTGTAACCCCCTAAACCCTAAACCCTAAACCCTAAACCCTAAACCCTAACCCTTAAGCAAGAAGGCTCTTATCTACTGCTTGGGTTTCAACTTCAGGTCTCAGTCATGCCCTATGTAGAATAGCTTCATGGGCTGAAGCTGCCGTAAAGTCAGGTGTCTTTCTGACGGATCCCTGCAAGGAATCTTCTCAACGAATGGAGCTTGGGGAGAGTTACCCTAAACCCTAAACCCTAAACCCTAAACCCTAAACCCTAAACCCTAAGCCCTAAACCCTAAACCCTAACCCTAAACCCTAAACCCTAAAGGATTTACGGAAAAGTCCGGCGACTCTGTAAACATGCAGGACTTGAGGTTGAGCGGCTGAGGATGTGAGCGTGGCGTTTCCCAAGACATTGCCGCGTTGCGAACTTTGGGGGCCCTGTCGGCTAGACCCCAAACCCTAAACCCTAAACCCTAAACCCTGAACCCTAAACCCTAAACCCTGAACCCTAAGCCAAAAACCCAAGCCCACAAAAGTCGCACAGGAGGGCGAGAGCGACGAGAGCGAGATTTGTGGCCGAGATGTCGAGGCTGCCAGTCTCCGATTTGTTTGGGTGCTTGGGCTGGGGTTCCACTTGTCGCAAAGTAGGAATAATGGCAAGAATAATGGTAGTAGAAGTCTGAAGTTAAGTGCGGGAAAGGAGCAGGAACGGCATTTGTTCGGAGGGATAGGCAAGCTGTCAAGCATCGTGTCTCGCAGAAGATACCCGTTACGGTTGCATGCCCTGTTTCATTCCTATGCTAGACATGTGATGAACTGCTTTGCACGCCCAAGCTAAACCCCTGCAAGCCCTGAAATTCTTTCCATGCAGGCACACGAGCGCACAAACCGATGACCTCAGGCAGTAGAATGAGATTGGTATGCAGTGTTTCCAAGGCCCTCCCGGGCTATTTATCCTCAGCATTTTCGCATGAACCTTGGAATCCTACTTGAAGCAAGATCGCAACCGACAACTTTCCCTCCCAAACTTCCCATGACCTAAGCCCTACTACTACTACTAAAACTACTACTACTGCTACTACTACT